AACATACTGCACTTACTATATTTTTGCAATATTAATTATGTATACAGTGCTCTATGCACATTTTCAGTATGCTTAGAACATACAGGGCACTACACTCAATACTGCATCCCAAAATGCAATGCATTTGACCTTGATTTAGTTAAAGAACTAATTTCTATATATATATATATATATATATATATTTAATCACACCAAAAAGTTACACTCCTTTTCACGAAATTGGGGGGAAATCTAAATAAATAAATAAATGAGCAATATAACCATATTTAATTCCAAACTAATAAATGGTGATGATTTGCTGAACTAAATTTGCAACATAGTGAGTTGACATGTTTATTGCATCTCAGGAGTCTTGTGCATCTTTTCACCTTCACATTGTTAAGGGTTTGCCAAGTAGAACCAGAATGACTGGATGTCAGACGAACTTTCGCACATTTTTACCTGAGGTAGGGTCAAAGGGTTGGAAAATTAAGGTACAAAATGCGCATAATGCAATAGCTTGGAGGGGAATATTATCAGTAAACGATGACTTCAGTTTCTTGCTGTTGCCAACTGCACTCTTCAAAATGTTTCCTTTTATGTTCAGTGGAAGAAAGTAAGTCATATAGGTTTGGAACAAAATGAAGATGAGTAAATTACCACTTTTTTATTGAATTCTAAATGATGAGAAATCCATTAGCTGAAAGCTTTATTGTTGTGATTTTGGAATATTCTGACTATCTTCACACAATTCACTGTGATATCCAGTCCTGTCACAGAGACCCCTGATCCTGAGTTAAGAGTCTCCGACACATGCAAATCCTTGATTTTAAGGACTCTTGTTTGTTGTCCTTTTTATTGCATTTATCAGGTAGAAAACATGATTGAGAATCTAATCTGATTCTGTTCCTTTCAGACATAAGTCACCTATTATCTTATCTCACTGTCTTTATCTTTATCAGCACATTCACAGCTGACATCAGATAGCTGTATGTTATATATACATTTCAGATATTAATACTGCAATATTTTTTCTGTAAAGCAGCTTTGAGGCAATGTACATTTTGTAAATGTAAAGTGCCGTACAAATAAAACTGTCCAGACTTGATTTCCTAAAGATCCCATGTTTACTGTCGGACAGCATCACATACATTCGGTCTGTCTGTTTAGGTTTGTTCTGCAGTAGTCATCTAATTATATATGATCAAAGGGAATTCACGATTTATCATCTCTTCCTGAAGGCCTGTTACTTAAACAACTCACAGGAAATGGCAGCATGCTGATTTCTCTGCTGTTGTTTCTTCATAAACATATCAAAATAACAGATAATAGAGGTATGTGTTTTGTGTGTAGCTGAATTTCAGGATCTTTTTTTTTCTTTTTTTTTTTTTACTCGTGATGCCATCTCTTTCTGTCTCTCACGTGCAGGACATGGACAGGTTTGCTTTTGCATTTGAACTCGTTTGACATAGCACGAAACATAGCCCGTCTTATTTTCAGTTTTAGGAGGAGCACGTTACTTACAACAATAAAGGCCTTCAAGACCAAAGTGAATGTCGCAGGTTTCACACATGACACTGCGGTGAAATTCTCCAGATACGTTCTCACATAACTGACTCTGTTCGACAAAGATCTAATTTATGTCTGAGAGAAAAGCAAGAGCATGAACAATCCCTGACATCAAGAACCACGACCAAAGTCAACGGCCCCATCAGTGTTGACAAAGTGAGAAAGCTCAGTGTTCTAAATTTACAAATGGAGAAATTTTGCAATGTTTGCATGTCAAAGCTGCTGTTTTCCATACAATGAAAGCAGAGGACCAGTGCAATTCAGCATCAACAATGTCAAACCCGGCGTGATACATCTTCATTGAATGTTGGTAAAACTCAACATCCACTTTAATTGCATACAACGCAGTTGCTTGGATGAAACCAAGTCATGGTTTTGGAACAATATTCATTTTTAGGCAAAGTAATTCTTTAATAGCCAGAGAATGGGCCCTTTAAATAACCACTGGGATATTTGTCTTTGAGTGTTTTCATTACAGCAATCCCTTAGTATACAATGACTTGCAAAAAGCATGAAGCGTTGTGCAATCTTAATCGAAGAAAACAGTCTGTTCATGAGGGAGGGACGTACAGGACACTCACTTTTATTCTCAATACGACAGTAAACGCCACCGTCATCGCACCACCCCCTGTACATGCCAATCATCACAGTTCCTTCATGTCATGTATCTATTATGTGTTGACTGACCTGTACAGGGCCATGGCCTAAATATTTGGTAAAATAACGTAAGAGCCCTCTGTACATGACAATATGTGTGGGACTTTTATTTGACTTCCTCATTTGGAATTCAACAACACTTTAATGACGCCTGTATGCTTGCGATTGGGTGAGTTTCATAATGGGTTTGTTGTGACATGTTAAAACGGTAAATTCCAGCAAGTCTCTGTTATTGACAAAGTCTTACAGTGATGGAAAGTGATGTTTTATGGTGGACACAAAAGAATGCCGTCTCAATAAAACTTATCATGGCTTATCACCCATTTCCTGTCTTATTACTGTCTCTTTTCATCATGCGATTGATAAGAGAGAGTTTACATAAAGACAGACTGATGGCATGCTCTATGAAGGGAAGGTTGGCGCAGTGTCCACATTCTGATATAAGGTGACAGTCGAGACGACTCGGTGATGATTTTTTCATAACACTGATGAAGCACAATGAGCTCATGTTGAAAACCTGACTGGCTTTACTATAAAGAGTTGATATTGGCTTGATGTCTGCTTGTTCATTCCCACCCTTCCTCTTACATCACTGTCCAAAATTTCCTCATATGTTTCTCAATGTTCGTCTTCTTTGAAAGGTGTTGAAAACCTCATGGCTTTTTCACTTCGAATATTCTGTATTAAATTAGTAAAAAGAAGCAGTTCAAGATTGACTTTTGGACCCGTCTGTATATTTACTAAAGCTCTGTGTTTGCTGCGCAGGAAGTTTAATGAAAGGCTGTGAGAGAAAAACCGAGCTAAAGTCTACGTTTGCTTTGGTCCGAGTCCAAATATGTTTGGCAGTGAATTTCTACAGTTACATTGACCCACTCATTTATTATGTAACATTATAGCCCAACGTCAACGTTTCTCAGTCCTACTAGAAGATTCTTTCTGGGTTGGCCTTTTTCACGCAGATCACACAAAAACACCTCAATGCTTGTCAGTTCAGAAGACAACAAATTAAGAGTCTTGGCCCATTTGGTACAGCACTGTTTTAGTTCCTAACTTTGACTACACTTGATTCTGCCATTAAGAGCCGCTCTTTATTATAAGCATTTCGAAGCAGGACAAACGTTTCTGCAGATTCTCAGAGTCAGTCTGTAGATAATAACCAGACTGGGGAAAATCGAAGCGTGGAAAATTCTAGATCTGCTAGATTTTGCTCGTGACTTGTCTCAGCTGAGCTCGTGGTCTTCTTAATCAATAAATAATAAGGACTAAATAAAAGGACTTATGCGTGCATTAGCCAAACCACATATTCTTGTCTACTCAGGTTCAAAGACATCAAGCTGAACCCGTTAAAACTCACAAGCATTTCACACGTTTCGCACAAACTCTCAATCAGTATGAACAATGGGGTCACTATGTATGATGACGACACGCATGCTCGCAATTCCTGCGCTGACTGGGACATGTGACTTGCACGCACACCCTTGATCTGAAGTGAATATACTTTGCAATTATCAGGCATGGACAACAGTATTACCAGATGTTTATGCATGCAGTTTGTTGCGTAAAGATTCGTGCGTTCATTCAAGACCCATGCTGATTATAAGCAGCTCCTTCGATCTAAAAGTAAAACCCCTCAGTTGAAAGGAAGCTGATTTATTTTCAAGTGCTCGGGCAGTGTTCAGATGGAGGATTTCAGGTACGGTGTACCTGATTCGAATCATAAAGATGAGACATTCTAAGGACGTCCCGACCTTGTTCTGCAGGACTTGTTGCATAATGAACATGGCAGCAGGACGGCTTTGGGAACATTTGTATTGATTCCTACAAGGCTGTAACCTCTGAGGAAAAGGCTAAATTGTTTTGTGGCATCATGAGCCGAACGGTCAAGCCATTGGTCAGGATACAGGCGTGTCAGCTTGTTCAAAGAAAAACCATGTCGTCAATACAGGTCGAGCTCAGCACAGCCATTTCTCTTGTTCAACTATGATTTTTGGGTTGATTATAAACAGTCACAACAGTGACTGAGGCAAAAACAAGGCCCCCTATCATTATAGGTGAGGCTGTAAATACTATGCTTATCTGTTTGTCATTTACCTTGAACTACTCGGCGGATCACAACAACAGGATATATGACACAAAAAGCAGTTTCAGAGAATTATGATGTTATGAATTGCGATGATGCCGGGCTTTAGGTGCCATTGAGTAATTGAATGTAGGAACTGTGCTGAGTACGAAAGGACTGATTTTTTTTACTTTCTTAGGCATTTCTGCAATGTTGACTCATGCAGGAACAGCCAGAGCAAAGCGGGACAAAATATGTTCTCGTATGTGTTCAAAACTTAACAAAATAGGTTTTACATACATAATGTTTTTAAACACACGCCCTAAAATTCAATCATCATAGTATTAGGCATCATATGTTTTTGTATACAAAACCACAGAAGAAAAGGCAGCTGAGGCTATCTGTGGTAAAGTTCGTGATTTCTTTATCTGAATCGTTGTGGATTAGTTTGAACAAGCCAAACACACATGGACCCGCATCACAGTGTTTATATTTGGATGACTCTTAGTCACATGCAGGAGTGCTGTTCAACCATCCATAAATCTAATCGCAATTTCCAGGTTACCAGGTGTTAAGTCTGACAGCTGTTGCTTAAGTTTTAGTGAGATTTTACTGATAACAGAGTGGGGCCCACGTTGGCCCTCCCTAGCCTGCGGGGCCAGTTGCGTCAGGAGGTGTGTTCCGCTCTTCGTGTGCGTCAGAACGCGGAAGCGAAGGTTCTATAAGAACATGAGCAACGCTTCAGGAATTTTCCAAAGCGCTTTTATTCACTCACCCTCGCGTCTCGTGCTACGCGTTATAGTTTTATTTGTATCTCCGATTTGTTTCATTGGTAGGTCGTCGCGTAAGTTACGTTCGTGTCTACCATCTGTTGCTTTAAAGTAACGTTGATATTTCCATTGCGTATTCGTGAAGGATCTGACCAGCGATTTTAATCATGTTTCCTGAGAGCAGCACTGGGTAAACGGTTATTATTTTTCATATCTAACTTTATGATTCTACTTGCTTTATTGAAAGCGTATATGGTTGAGTTTCGATGGTGAATGTCGATCAGTGGCATAGTACAGCGAGTTGTTTGGTTGCTTATAATAATTCATCCATTCGTTCTTTCTGTAACGGTGTGGAATTTGATTGAACCGAATCGTCGCAGTGACAAGCACGTGGTGATGCGGGGCGCGCGTGTCTTGATCAGCTGCCAGCGAACGCAACTGTTATTTATTTAAGCGAATGTTGCGGGGTTAAAAAGAACGCTTTGAAGTACATGGTCATTGGAATAAAGCTTTTTTGACTTTGAACTGATTGTATTGAAATTCTGTGAAAATGTGCAACAGTAGAATTATAAATTACATACTGTACAACATGCGCACAATAAAATCTGACACCCTACTCTCTAGATATGTTTAATTATTGGTCAACCAATAATACCTTTGGAGAAGTGCTTGACAGATAAAAAAAAAAACACTTTTTGGACATTGGCTAGTTATTTTGCTTGTATTGAAATGTATTTGCTGCAATTGAATTATAAATGGAAACTGATTTTCAGATTAAACTCTGTTACTGTTTCTGCAAAGGCCATAGTACTAATCATATAGATGCTCACAGGAAGTTTATTTTAGTAGTCAGCTGCTCGGATTACAGTAGTGATGTGTCAGAAAGTGGCTCATGTTTCAGATTTGCCAGGATATTTTTATTTGGTATCTGCAGGCTTCATCATAACCATTCAAATATGATGCAGTATTCAGCATCCTAGTTATATAATACATATGCAAAATGTATATTTGTCAGTTGTGAAAATAAGTGTGATATGAATGTGTGTGTGACATTCGAGTGTATCGGGGGATGTGACTTCTGGATGGGAAACGTGCTGTGAATTCAGTGCGCTGGAAACACATTTGGTTAGTCATGTGTGTGGCCCCATAAACTCATTTTTTTTCCATTCTCTCTGTGCAGGTACAGCTATGAGGATTGCCAGGCCACAGCTGACTGGCTTCTGTCCCAGACTGCAGTGCGTCCTCTGGTGGGCATCGTGTGCGGTTCGGGTTTGGGTGGACTGGCTGAAGCATTGAAAGACCAGGTGGCCTTCAACTACAGGGACATCCCCAACTTCCCCCAAAGTACAGGTGAGGTTTTCTGTATAATGTGAGATATACTTTATCTTCTAAGATCCTTGCATTTACTTCTTTTATTTTTGCTGAACCTGTGTGTTTCTTTCTCTTCTGCAGTGCACGGTCATGCAGGCCGGCTGGTGTTTGGCACTTTGAAGGGTAGACCATGTGTCTGCATGCAGGGACGGTTTCATCTCTATGAGGGTTATGCGATCCAAAAGGTACGAACACCCTGTAATACACACACTCTGGCACGTCAGAGTCCAAAACATGTAAACAATACGGCTCTTTGTCAGTCTGACAGCTAGATTGAGAGGTAGTTGTGGCTGTATTGTTGGATTCGAGATCCAAATGGTCTTGGGTGCTGATCCAGGCCTGAGGGTTTAAGAACTTAACTTGCATGTATTTAAATATCACTGAAATTGCAAGTTGCACTGACTTAAAGATCCTTCTTTAAAAAGAACTAAGCGGAGGCATCTTTGTTCCACACATGGCCTTACTGAAAACCGAGTTAGTTTTAACTGGTTGTGTTGTGTGTGTGTGTGATTGGAGCATAAACTCTCTGACCCTATGGTATGCAAAGACCAGTACATTTATAGCATTCACACAGGTTATTTTGCACTATAATTTAAAACTTGCTGCTAATATCAGCAAGGTGCCACAAGATGTCCTTGTGTATAAAGACCAACAATTAAAAAACAGCACTAATGGAACACAACTGCTGTAATATGCACCTGATGCGAGATTCAGAGCATCTCAAACTACGATTGTTCTTCCGTTTTAGATTACGATGCCTATGCGGATATTCAAACTGCTGGGTGTGGAGACTGTGATTCTCACCAACGCCGCTGGCGGTCTGAACCAGGACTATAAAGTAGGCGACATCATGATCATCAAAGATCATCTCAACATGCCTGGATTTGCTGGAAACAACCCTCTGGCTGGACCCAATGACGAAAGGCATGTTTATATGTGCTTATTTAGTTCCTTTTAATCGCTATTCTCAGACATGCAGCTGTTTTGACGGGCAGAAATTCCACACGTGCTTCTGTAAATATTGTTCATTATGTAACGTTACATAACATTACCTTTTTAGGTTTGGCGTTCGTTTCCCCTGCATGTCGGACGCATACGATCGAGAGCTTCAGCAGATGGCGCTCGACGTGGGTTCGGAGCTCGGTTACAGCAACTTCCTGCGAGAGGGCGTGTACTGCGTTCTAGGAGGACCGTCGTTCGAGACGATCGCGGAGTGTCGCATGCTGCACAAGCTGGGAGCTGATGCTGTCGGTAAGAGTCTCGTCTGCTGTAAAGCTTCTTTTAACCAATCGGAACAAGTTATCATAGCTTTATGATATAATATTAGAGGGTATTATGCAGTTCTCTGAGCATTCGAACTTACAATATTTAGTTTTCCTGTAGGTCATGGTAGTGCTGGGCAATATAGCTAAAAAATGTATCAACGATATAATGTTTCATATCGTTCGGTATCGATAATTATTGACTTTTTTATAACCTTTTTTAAAACAGAGCAATATAATTTTTTTTTTAATTTAACCACTGTATTTTTAAAATAACCCAATTTATTGAGACAAACAACAAATATTTTTTGTTTTAACAATCAAACACAAAATAATTAAATATCTAATTTCTAATGTTTTATATGCAGATTAAATAGGTCTTTATTGTATAGGTCTAATTGTCTCCCGAGGCCACAGGAGGGCGCAATGAGCAAAATAATGCAGCGCATTTAAATTGTCAACGCAAGGAAGTAACTCTATAAAAAAACGTGCATTACGTCTAAATTAACTCAAAATATCAAATATAATTTCGTAAATTGCATAATTATGAACAAAACCGCATAATTTATGCATTGCTTAATCCAAAGAGCCGAAGCGCCATTCACACAGACTGCATTTAAAAACATATGAGACACAGTGAAAAGGAATAAACCTCCACAAATTTGTGACGCGTTTTCTAAACGTTTATACTTTTTTAACTTTGCATGGCTTTCTATACATCTCTTCTGTGAGACGCGAGTGCAGAAGTCATATTTGTCCGCCTAAAAAATGCTTTCTGTGTGAATGGCTTGGTTTTGGTTTTCACCTAATCAAGATCTTCTCCGCATTGAGCTTCTATATTTCTCTAATATTTTGAATGAATAACACAGCAGCGGCGCGTCTCGTGGGCTAGACTAACAAAACATTCAAATGCAACAATGTAACTTACATTATCACCGCGTCTCGCGTGCCACTGATGACGCTCTGACGCACACCTAACATTCAAATGCAAATGTTTATTTTAAATTCGACTAATATTCATTCTTTATTCACAATCTCCTCGTCACAGGCAGACACCGCACTCATTTCAGCATGTGTTCGTGTTTGTGTGTGATGTCTGCTTGTCACTCATAGCACGTGCCTATATCGAGCGCTATATCGAACATTTTTTTTTTTCTATCGTTATCGAAGAAGGTGTACCGTCGATAAATATCGATACCGTTTTATCGCCCAGGCCTAGGTCATGGGTTCGATTCCCATTTTTAGTGCAGTAGTAGTCGTGTAAACGTACCTTAAGTTCAACCAAATGTAATTTGTATTATTTTTTTTTTTTATGAGCAGTGGCCAATGAGTTATTGTGCTGTACAATGAAATCTATATAACATTGAAATTACAATTAGTTTATATACAGACTTGTCTGTGAGAACTAGTTTAATAACCAGACCTAATGTTTTTTAGGCATGAGTACGGTTCACGAGGTGATCGTGGCACGGCACTGTGGGATGCGCGTCTTCGCTCTGTCTTTGATCACTAATAAGGCGGTGATGAACTACGACAGCGAGGAAAAGGCCAATCATGAGGAAGTTCTGCAGACGGGCAAACAGCGGGCGGAGCAGCTGGAGAGGCTGGTGTCCACCATAGTCACCCGGCTAGAGCACAACAACAATTTCGCTTAAGACTGTTCTCAGATCAGATCTTAATCAGATCAGTCACAGACCAAAGAACGCAGACTCATCTGTGAACATTTCGGATATGGTTATACAGGTCAATTCCTTTTGGCTCCCACTTATTTATGTTTGTTGAGTCTTATTTTACAATGCGAAATGGTTATAAAGCCTTTTGGTCTGTGATATTTTGCTCTTATGTATAAACCCCGTAAACAGGAGAGTGCTTATTTTTATTAAAGAAAAAAAATGCTGTTTTTGTAACATGGGAAATATGATTTTCAAAAGACAAGTTGCTATCTAATATAACACCCAGATTTTTGACTGTAGAGGAGGTAACCGTGCATCCGTCTAGTTGCAAATTGTAATCCACGAGATTCGGTGTACTGTCTTTTGGTCCAATAAGTAATATCTCTGTCTTATCCGAACTTAATAGGAGAAAATTATTGGTCATCCAATCTTTTACATTTTTAACACACTCTGTTAGCTTAGATAATTTAGAAGTTTCATCTGGTCTTGTTGAGATATATAGTTGAGTATCATATCGGCATAACAGTGGAAACTAATCCCGTATTTTCTATGTGGTTCGATTCAAACTTTCCTGGATTCCCGACACAACATCTGAGGGGAAATCTTGCTGGTCTCCTCCTACAACAATGCATTTTTCTTATTTAATCTATTAAGATATCAATAATACGTGGTTTAATTATGAGAAGGACCACCTCCGACATGTTCCTCATCTTTGATATGAGGCTTAAGTTGTCTTCCCCTCCCGGCAGACTGCGGCTCTATGATATGGTTGACTTGATCTGGTTGTGTAAGATCTTTTCTTGGTCCACTTGATGCTTTATGAAGGATTCTACAGATGTGTTCAGCTGTTGAGTTTGCTATTTTCCTTATAGCAGCTGTCAGATTCTTGTGAATCAAACACGAAAACCACAGCATACAACAGGTTGACTTCAAGTTTCTACACATGTAATGTTGAGGATCAAAGCTCCCACGTTTATTAAGAAAATGACATGGTTTGGGTATCCATAAATTAATTTTTTTTAACACGTGCATCATTAAAACGTTTTTATTTATTTATTTTGAGGTCCGCTGTAAATTATTAGAGTTGTTAATTTTAAAAAGAAATGCGTTTGTATACCCCCCCCCCCCCATTATAATTTTACAGTAGTAAAATAACTATCAACTATGGTGTATTTTGACAGTAGCTATGGTTAGCACAGTCATTTTTAGTTAAAGTGAAATGGGTAACATCTTTACAAATGTTAAAATATCAATGATTATACATTTGAAAAAACTTACCATTTTAATATCAGTTTCTGGATTTCCATTTTGACGTTTCAACTGAAAAATATCGAGTTGACAAATTTCTGTCACTAAAGATGTGACTAAACTGTCCGTTATTGAGAGCACTTGTTTCTGGACCGATGCTTCTCTTGACATTCTTCAATACACACCTGTGAAAAAAATTAATAAATCACATAATAGGTGAATGTATAATTGATTTATTTGTTTTAATAAAGTCCCTTCAGTTACTGAGTTACTACCGTCATGATGGATTTCAAAATACAAGTCACCCACTAAACCTCATGAAAATGTAAAGTCCATTAAAAAGTCAGCAGTGAGGGTTTACAATGTTTTATTTTTGCAACAACTATAAACATAAACATACATAACATATATTTAATATATATATAATAAAATCTAAATATGAAAAAAAGATGTTGGCACTAAAACAGCTCCTCCATCCTGTTCCCGGAGCCCCAAAACAACCACATTTCTAACATATCTAACACACCTGTTTCAACTCATCAGCTCGTTAACTCATCAAGTGCTGGAGGAAATCCGAGAAACATCCAAATGCTAAAAAGTTTGGTTTATAAAAACAGTCTTTGTGTGGCATTATGGATTATATTTCTTCAGCTGATTCATAAAGCCTGGGTTTGGTTGAATGTTAGGCCTGGCGGTTTTCACAGCGCTGAAGGCTTCATCAAAGGACATCTTCTCCTGGGACATGAGGAACCCGATGACCACAGAAGCAGAGCGAGAAACACCAGCGTTACAGTGGACCAGCACCACTCCACCCTGAGGAGCACACCGGAAACAGGTTAAACACACACACACACACACACACACATCTCTGGAGATTTGTCTGTCTTCCACATACACACCTGCTGACTGGCTTCATTTATGAACTCGAAACACTCGGGGAAGTATGAGGTGATGTCTGTCTCTGGCAGATCTAACACGGTAACAGTCTTATACGTGAAGAGGTCCGGGAACGCGTTCTCAACCCCATACGCCACATTCAGCACATGAGTCACCTAAACACAACAGCAAAGAAATGGAGATTACTTTTAATGGCATATAAATCAGCCTGCTTTATTTTTATAAACGTTTATGAGAAAGTCAGATAAATTAAATGATATAATAATAAAAATCTGATTACCTTTAATTTCTTCAACGTGTCTATATCGTGAGCAGCATCCTGTGATGCTAAAAATCACATGATTAGTTAAATGTAACGAGTAGGGTTAAAACTCAATGTGTCATGGTAACTTAATTTTCAATCAAACATTTTAGAGGGGTCATATGATGCGATTTCAATTTTTCCTTTCTCTTTGGAGTGTTACAAGCTCTTGGTGCATAAAGAAGATCTGTAAAGTTGCAAAGACTAAAGTCTCAAATCCAAAGAGATATTCTTTATAAAAGTTAAGAGTCATCACAACGCACTGGATAGTTGGCCAATCACAGCACCCCTCGCTTTTCAGACCGATGAGCTTTGTAAAAAATCAGGTATAGATGAGAAACAATGTACAGTATGTGGAAAATAATGTGTTTTTTTTAACCTTAAACCGCATAAACACATTTCATTACACCAAATACACAACATAATGTTCTTTTTAGCAACATCATATGACCCCCTTTTAAATAATAATAATAATATATATTTTTTAAATAATATAATTTGATTCAACTGGAATAAGCCATAAAGAAATAATCTGGAGAATTTTTTTAAAAATTGAAATTTAAAATTTAGTTTGATTTTACTTTGAACAATAGCTGGAAACTATAGAATTATGAATATTTTGGTTTATTTAATTGTTTATTTTTGGGGGTGACCATGGAAACCTTTTTTAAAATATAATAATAATAATAATTGTTTTTATTAAATTGTAATTAGTCTTATAAATCAATCAGTCAATCTGGTCTATTATTATTATTATTGGTGGTGGTGACCATGGTGAATTTTTTTATTTATTTTTTAATTAAAGGTTGTTAATCTTTTATATGCATCGTTACACAAAGTACCATGCAATGCCACATTTATTTAGACTCTGACACCTTTAAATCCATAACTACTGTAATTATCCTCGTGGAATAATGATATTCCCAGCAGTGTAGCATGGTACCACCACAGTAGGGGTTGTGTCAGGTTTGCATAATAAACATTGCAATTACATACAAAGAATACATTATAGACCTAACGCACAGAGTAGGAGGAATGGCGTAATGGTGCCCACTTGCAGGTCGAGGCTCGAGTCCTGCACGAACCCGCACGCGTCGCGACTCTCGCGCTCTGAATCGCGCGTCACGTGAAAATGATCGCCGCGGCGCGTCTCGACGAGTTTCTCGCCCGTCACGGTCGTCAGTCTCGTGCTCTGCTTCCTCAAACGCGCCGCGGGAAATCCCTGGATCTCCTGCGCCAGAGAATTCATCTTTATTTACAGATTTCTATTGATCGAACTGCGGAACTAAAGAGAAGGGCTGTAAAAACAAAGCGGGGGACCTTAAGTTAGGTGCACCAGTTAATTTCAAAATGAAAGCCCCTCTTCAGGCATTAACACTCACCCATGCTGACCCTAATTTCTCAAGTACAACTTTATTTACTAATAAATTCTACATTACATTCATCATCATTACTAATAAATCTGAAATACGGAAAACAAACAGTATAAAAACTTTCAGAAACGTTGCAATTTTATTTGTAGTTAATACCTTGGTGTTAGTAAATAGAGTAAAATAAAAGTTTATCTTATACACTAAGTGTATTTCTTTACATTTTTTCTTTGATTTTAAAGGGGTCATATGATGCGATTTTCAATGTTTCCTTTCTCTTTGGAGTGTTACAAGCTCTTGGTGCATAAAGAAGATCTGTAAAGTTGCAAAGACTAAAGTCTCAAATCCAAAGAGATATTCTTTATAAAAGTTAAGAGTCAGCCACACCCTCCTAAAACGCCTCCTTCTAACACGCCCCCACATGTCTACGTCACTATGTGGGAAGATTTGCATAACACCGCCCAAATGTGCACGCAAAGAAAGTTTCAGGAACCGCAGCAGTGTTGAAGCAGCATGTCAGGGAGACGCTGTGTTTCAGTGCGAAAGCAAAAGCACTTTATTTGGCCTTCCGGAAGTAGA